TGGTTAGCCATTAAGAGAAGTCTCACGTTTCATGTTCAAACTTCCACAGCACCTGCACATTGGGTGGCTACTCAAGAGGCTAAGATCTGAGAATGCTGGTTTAAAGCCAGCCTGGACAGAAAAATCCAAGAGATTCTTATCTCCTATTCACCAGCAAAAAAAGCAAAAACCAGAAGTGGAGGTATGGCTCAAGTGGTAGAACCCCAGCCTTGAATGAAAAAGCCAAGCACAAGTCCTTGAGTTCAAGATCTAGTACCAGAAAAAAAAAATCAGAGCTAAGTGGACTAGGGTTAATTTGGTGATATAATTATGCTACCCATATATTAATGCCATCAATGATGTGATGTCATCATTATGACATTGTTTTTACTGTCCTTGTTATTTGTTGTGTTTTATTTTGCTACCCTCAGAATGTGAATTTCTGTTCTTTAGACTAATGTCTTCATGGTAGCAGAATGGCTGCGACAACTCCAAACGTCATGCTTTTACACATCACAGTTCAAAAGCTGAAGAGAGTATCTCCCCCCTATATGTCCCTCCTATTAAGACTAAAGAACAACTTTCTTGGATTCTCTAATCTTATTCTGGCAATTATTGGCAGGAGCTGCTCAATTTGTTCTTGCTTAAAGAATCCATCTTTCCTCTATACAATCTGTGTGCTGGGAATTGTATTCATCTGTGTAATCAGGTGTGAAACTCTGTTCTCCTGACTCACACTAGGATCTCAACTCCATACCCCTAGTAGCCAGCTAGAGAGCCAACCACATATCAAATAACAACAGACAGTGGTTGTCCAGAAAGAAACTACCTCCTTCCCTGGAAATTTAACCCTGTATCTTCTAACCAAGATGGAATACATCCCAGACTTTGTCTAATCTTTCTGCACCTTAAATGTGGCTTCAGAGCTAACTGAAACAAAGGGTCTGTGCAGAGTCTTGGAGAATGTTTGCATTGTGCTGTGCTTCTCATTGGCTGCCCACAGACATCTGCACCATTGGTAGATCTGTATGGCTCTGAAAAAAAGAATATTGTTATAAATATCCAAATGACCCTTGGCAGATTAAAAGTTGCCCACCGGGGCAAAGTGTTCACCCCACACCCTGGCACTTCCAGCTGGACATTTCATCTTCAGACACTAAGCACCAAACTGAACTGTGTAGCCAAGGACAGATTCACACCTGCCACGTGCATGGCTTCCACATAATTCTCACCTCCGCTTCTAAAGGTGAGCTGCCACCCTCTGGGACCCTCACTAATGATGTTTGCGGGCCAAACAAGCAAATTAGACTTTCGTTCATGTGGAGCAAGAGAGACAGCTCTGTTAGTTTCATACCTACAATTACACTAAGTTGAAATCTGCTTTAAATGAACATGGAAAGCCAATTAAGTCATCAGTCAATGCAATGTTGGTAACTGGAGCTCTGGTATATATTTAGATCTGTTGTATTGATTTGGAAAAGATTTTCTGCCTTGCCAGGCATTTGATTTGATTCCAGGAGGAGGGAAAAGCAGGGTGCTATGGAGGTTTGGTGTTGGCCATAACATAAAGATGTGTAATCATCATTTGTTTTGATATTCGTGCAAGACCTGCACCTCTTCTCCCAGATCAACCACAATCATGTGGTGAACTGGCATCCACAAATCTTGGAATCAGGAAGTGGTACATTTAGTGAGTGAATTTTATTTGTTGGTTTTGTTTATTAGCCTTTTCCAGTAACAGTTCCTTGGATCTTTGGATGTGACATTTGAAAACAGTTCTATCAATAATAGCAATTAAAAAAATGTTCCTACGTCTCAAAACTGTGACATTGGTAAAGCTAAAGTGTTGTAAGGTGAATCATCCCAGAAGCCACATTTTAAAATACAGAATGGTGGAGTCTTTATTATACAGTTAACAGGCTGCAGGCTGCCAGTTGTTACAACGGCAGGCAGCATGCAAATACACATAACACAGCTAGGAAACATGTTAAAGAGGAAAGAAAGCACATGAGACACATGAGGCATGGAGTCCAGTGGCTAGATTGGCACAGGGGGCAGATCCTCAGGAAATTCCCAGTCACAGGCACTGGACTGACAGATTCAGTAGCCTATCAGCCAAGTGTCTGCCCCTGACTCCAGAGGTCTGGCCACGCCCATCACCTGGGAGGCAGGTAAAGGGGCGGGGGCTCCCTTCCCCCAGCATGAAGACAAGATGTCAGACCCTACCATCCACCATGTGGCCAATATGGCATCAGCCAGACCTGACCTCCTTACTTCAAAAGCGTATCTTTTTCCTCTCTTATTCCAAGTTGTGTCCTTAATTTGATGGCTGTGGAAGGGCTGTCAGAGACTAACAGCCTCCTAGACAGTGATGTAGAGGAAGAAATGATTATGTTTTATATTTAGCTAGATTTATTACTGCTGACTTGGGCAAATGAGTTCACTGTGAAGATTCTTGAGACTCTGGTTCAAGTTTGAATGCAACCATCACAAGGTTATAATCTTTTATGAAGTTTAATCCTTGAGCTATAGCCTTTCTTTAAAATAATCACTTGCTCTTCGATTCACACACTCAATGTAGCTCACTTTGAAATACTAAAAGCTTTGTGCCGTTTTTGCGATGGTATCTTACGTTAACCAAGTGTTCAAATTCCAATATGGCAAGTTGTTTTCTTTCTTGTCATCTCCTAAGAAGTATTGACTATAAAAGAGAAGTGTCTCAGATTTTGCTGTGCCTTTCTAATCTTTTTTGTTGTTAATTGTATTAAAATGTTATTAAAATTGTGTTAAAATTTTAATAGTGTAAGTACGGAGAAACGTGGCCACATTTCTCCATTGGGATCTACCTATTTTGTTAAATAGTTTGTTAACTGTTCATCTTTTGTAACTTGAGGATACCCAAACTCTGCACTTCACCCATGTATCAATCAGGACTGGTGGTTGCAAGGAACAGAAATGGAAGTCATAGTAGTTTAGCCCAGATGCGTCTGCTGGTTTATGTAATGGTGTAGCCATGGCAATACCTCATCAAGACACAGCTACAGTCAAGAGCGCAAGCTGCTTCACCAGCAATCTTCCCCTTGCTATTCTGATTTCCTCTGTGTAGGCTTATTTCTCTGACACGTTTTCTTTCTTTTTTTTTTCTAACCATGAGTACCACCCACCATATGTCCTGAAAACATCGGGTATTTCAGTAAAAAAAAAAAAAAAAAAAGTTATAGAATTAAATTAAATTCTATAAGGGCCAATGGACCAAAAAACATTTCTGTCTCAAAGAGTGGAAGAGTATGAGGAGCTGCAAAAGGGGGGTCTTTCTTGGGCAATGTTGGGATTTGTTAGGACGGCACAATCCAGACTTGGGAACGGGACTTCCCAAACTGTGGTCACCACTCAGCTCCATGCTTTGTTTGTGTAGTCACATCACAGAGAACCTCCACCACATACTAACTCTGCAGGCCTGGCGCGTTGCATGCATCTGGGAACTTACTGCAGTGTGAACCCCACAGCAAGCACACAGGAAAGTGAGCTGAAGCACTGATGGCTGGCAAGAGGAAGAGCAGCTGTGCCAGCAAGGGGGAAGAGGCCACCCCGATGGGAGTTTAGCCCAGTGACGAGGTTTTCCTCAGTGTCCAGTGTCCAATGCCCTTGATTCTTAGAATTCTTCTGCTTTTGGTGCTCCCTGGGAAACCCAATTCCTCAAATTCAGTAAACATGCTTTCATTGTCCCCTGGGATACAGTGATATCATTTACATTCCATCTCCAAAGAGGTGGCTGGCCAATCTTGTGAGTGTTCCAGACCTTATGCGTTTCTTATCAGGTGCTGCCTGAATGCTTGGATACTCTAACGGTGTTTAAGCCTTTAGTCAAGAGTGTAACTGTTCCCCTGTGGTACACAGATACACAGATCATCTTCCAAAAGCACTCAGTGAAAACGGCAAGCGTTATAGGGGATTTTGTAGAGCATGTGTATGTGTGTGTGTGTGCACATATGCGCGTGTGCACGCTTGTATGTGTGTTGTTGTTTTGCTGAAGCCTGGATTTGAACTCAGGTCTTTGTGCCTACTAAGCTTGTTTGGCTGGTGCTCCACCACTTGAGCCACTCCACCCAGCCTTGACTTTTTGTTGGTTATTTTGGAGATGAAGTCTTCAAGGGTTTTCTAACCAGGCTCGCTTAGAACCACAATCCTCTGACTTCAGTCTCCTGATTAACTAGAATTATACGTGTGAATCATCAGTGCCCAGCTGGAGTTCTGCAGTCATTTTAAGAAGGTGTCAGCATTGCAATTTTATCAAACATAATTCTTAAAGAATGTTTTAAAAGAAGGCATCTAGTCAGGGAGAGGAGTAATATTCACATCACTCGTGGTTGTGTTGTGTTCTGTGAAGTTGATTTGGGATGGTGGCACTTTCTATCCAGGAAGAGGCAGTAGAGCAGCAGAGTACATGTTCATACTTTTTCATTTACTCAAAAGAATCCTCTAGGCAGGGCACCGGTGGCTCACATCTGTCACCCTAGCTACTCAAGAGCCTGAGATCTGAGGATCATGACTTGAAACCATGCCCAGGCAGAAAATCCATGAGATTCTACATCCAATTAACGACCAAAACACCAGAAGTGTAAACACACACGCGCGCACATACACACACACACACACACACAATGTATCCTCTGGGCACTGATTAACACTTCAGACCCCAAAGCTCACTTTCAGGATACTACCATTTGAGAGGTCCCAGAAAGGAACAGAGCCTGTCATTCAATTCCTGTCTCCATCCAACCCAACTCTTCAATGCATTTGGGACACACTACCCTGGTGAAGATGGGACCTTCCCCAGGTCAAGATCAAATCGCAGTTGGGAGAGTTTACCAGGGAGAGGGCCGTAGGCGGTCTCACTTCACCACACCCCTGGTGTGAGCTGCTTTTACACCGTGGTGCTGTTGGGGGGGGGATGAGGGGGGAGCTGCTCCTCTTTTGGACTAAGCTACCCTGTGTTGCCTTCTCTGTCTCTCGCGCTGTAGATAGAAGACCTGCAGTGGGGGAGAGGTGTCCGGGAGATCCCCTCCTCCGTGTGCACACTGCCCTGCAAACCTGGCCAGAGGAAGAAGACCCAGAAAGGCACCCCATGCTGCTGGACGTGTGAGCCCTGTGACGGATACCAGTACCAGTTTGATGAGATGACCTGCCAGCACTGTCCCTACGACCAGAGGCCCAACGAGAACCGGACAGGCTGTCAGAACATCCCCATCATCAAGCTGGAGTGGCACTCTCCCTGGGCGGTCATCCCCGTCTTCCTGGCCATGTTGGGCATCATCGCCACCATCTTCGTCATGGCCACCTTCATCCGTTACAACGACACACCCATCGTCCGGGCATCCGGGCGCGAGCTCAGCTACGTGCTGCTGACCGGCATCTTCCTGTGCTACATCATCACCTTCCTGATGATCGCCAAGCCCGACGTGGCCGTCTGCTCCTTCCGACGAGTCTTCCTGGGCTTGGGGATGTGCATCAGCTATGCGGCCCTGTTGACCAAAACCAATCGGATTTATCGCATCTTTGAGCAAGGTAAGAAATCGGTGACCGCCCCCCGGCTCATCAGCCCCACGTCCCAGCTGGCCATCACGTCCAGCTTGATATCCGTGCAGCTCCTTGGGGTTTTCATTTGGTTTGGCGTCGACCCGCCCAACATCATCGTAGACTATGATGAGCACAAGACCATGAACCCGGAGCAGGCCAGGGGCGTGCTCAAATGCGACATCAGCGATCTGCAAATCATTTGCTCCTTGGGGTACAGTATCCTCCTCATGGTGACCTGTACAGTGTATGCCATCAAGACTCGGGGCGTCCCGGAGAACTTCAACGAGGCCAAGCCCATCGGCTTCACCATGTACACCACGTGTATAGTGTGGCTGGCCTTCATTCCGATTTTTTTCGGGACAGCGCAGTCAGCAGAAAAGGTAAGTGCAAATGAACGAGCAGCCCTTCCAACGGTTTTAGAAAGATGGTGGCTAGCTGGGTGCCCTGTGGCTCAGGATGATAATTCCTAGCTACTCTTGAGGTGGAGGACTAAGCATCACAGTTTGAAGCCAAGAGCAAGGCAGTCTATGAGAGTCTTACCACCAAATAACCAGCAAAGAGCCACAAGTAGAGCTGTGGCTCAAGTGGTAGAGCTACCAACCTTGAGAAAAACAAAACAACTAAGGAACCATATCCAGGCTCTGAGTTCAGGCCCTGGCATTGCTCACACGTGTGTTTGTAGGTCTTAAAAACCAAGCAGGTTGGATAAAATAAGAGAATAGCAATCCCCAAGCTTAAAAGCCTAGACTTGTTGGTGAATGGTACTTGAGTTTAAATATGCTATAAACTCCCCACTTAAACCCAACCCAGTGTAACCTTTCAAGTTGTTTTACTATGGCATTATTCACAGTAAGAAGGGATGATTGAGTACAAAGCGATCTGATATACCTAAATTAAATCTTTCTATTGATTCACCAATTCTTGCATAAGAATTTGGGGTAGGTAAATGGGGTACCTGTGTTGCAGGTGGATGTATCTAGGATGGCACTTATTCACATGGTGGTGAGCTTTCTGCTTCTTCTCAGAAGAGTGTGAGTTACCCACTGCACATACACCCAGTAGAGCTGGGGAGCGTAGAGAAAGCTTGGTTGTCATCTACCCAAGGCTAGATGGATCTAAATCTGGCTAGATGGATACTAATCCCAGTAAGCCATTTGCTCAACTTTCTCACCAGGACAGACAGAGGAGATCAACAGACTGTGGAACTTGGAGGTGTATAAGAGTCAGATATATTAGAGTCAAAGTTAGTTGCTTCTAATACGTTGGTCCAAGATAAAGCTAATAGGCCAAGCCTAATAGGCATCTCCCCACATAAATAAGTGCTCATTTTTAAATGCAATTAGTGTATGTTTAGGTGTAGTTTTGCCTTCTGTGCCAACTGGGCATACACAGTTAACTTTTACACTCATCTAGCCAGTTATAGGTTATTTGTTTATCTGTTTTAAAGGCAGCTTCTCCTATTTAGTCCAGGCTGACCTTAAGACTTAACCTCATGATCCTCCTTGCCTTGACCTTCCAAGGCATCTCTGCGCCTGGCCTGCCTATAAATGGAGCCTTGTCATTAGGGTATGATGTTGGGACATTGAGAATCCATCTACTTTCAAATTACTTTGGACCAGTCTCCCAAAAGTTCAGTCCCCAATGGGAAAATCAAGATTGAAGTAAGGATGTCTAGGAATATTCGGGAGACTAGTCTCTCAGAATTAGCGGAATGAGGCTTTTTAAATTTTTACCTCTGCTCTCAGCGTTTTATCTACATGATGTAGTGACATCCAGTTGCTTTTTTCCAACAAAAATGATGTTGTTTACCAAGACTGTGTGATTCAGAAGCTGCAAGCTTGGGCTCTATTTCCTTCATGTGAATATTTCATGAGACCACGCACGATTCTAAAACTAAGGAAAGTGAATGACTCCAGATTATGGTTTTAGTCATCGAAAGTCTTTAGAGGAAGTTCTTCTAAAATCCATGTTCAATGATCAGAGCACGCTCCTCACGGGATTGCTCAAATTCATAATGCATGTTTATTGCCTGTGAAGCCAACTTGAATTTCATTTTATTTCTTCTATCTGTCCCTGGGCCAAGGGAATAGTAAAATGTATGAGTTCGGAGAATGAAATGCAATGGAGACCAGAATGAAATTCTTGCAGGCCACGTGGAAGCCCATGCAGATGACTGTGTTGTTAAAGTGCACAGCGCCCCCTGCAGTAGGTGAAGGGCACAAACTCTCTCCTGTGCATTTATGCTTGGTGATCTAGAAGATAGGGAATGATAGTCACTAAGGTTTTAAGGAGGAGTCTTGTAATGTGTGTTTGAGTCTCTGTCTCCATCAAGTTCATTTCTAGCTGCTTCTACTTATGACCGTGGGTCTTTCCAGGAAGACTCACCTGTAACTTTCTCAGTGAAAAGTCCAATGACACAAGGCTTCAGGGATTCCATTTGCTGACTGAGGTCATTCTAGGAGACATTTTCTCCTAGAACTCCTTGAACTGCCAGGATTGAACTGTGGGAAAGAATTAAGTTGTCTCTAAGTGGTACGTGTTTGACCCCAGAGTTTTAGAAAACCGACTTACTTTCTTTGTAGACTATTCTTGTGTGTGTGTGTGTGTGTGTGTGTGTGTGTGTGTGTGTGTGTGTGCAGAATGCAGGCTTGAACTCAGGTGAGGACGCTGTCCCTTAGTCCCTTAGTTGTTGTTTGTTTGTTTGTTTGTTTCACTCAAAGCTGGCACTCTAACAGTTGAGCCATAGTTTCACTTCTGGCTTTTTTGGTGGTTAATTGGTGATAAGAGTCTCACAGACTCCTTCCTGGGCTGATTTTGAACCATGATCCTCATATCTCAGCCTCCTGAGTAGCTAGGATTGTATATGAGCCACCACTGGCCGGCTTCTTTATAGACTCTTAATGGGTTAGAATGCTTTACATGATTAGTTGTCATAAGTGAGTAAAGGTATAAAATTGGCAAATTGGATAATATGCAATGAAAATGCATGTCCACAGATGATAGGCCTGTGCCTAGAGAAATAAGAGGGACTGATTGAAAAATAACCACTTCCTCTATGTACAGTTGATGGGACTTCAAATGCAAAAAAGAAGCAAATGCCAAGACAGAGAAAGAGAAGGAGGCACAAGGCATGCTTGCCAAACTGGCCGTATACAGAATCACAGGCTTCCCATTTTTGTTTCTGTTTAACAGTGTAACTTCCTGAAATGGAAAATTTTCATTGCAACAGAGACTAAAAAACAACCTGCAGTAAATTCAGTGATAACTATTTACTGCTTCAGAAAATTCAACCCATTTTCATTCTGCAAGGGATACCTTTGTGCAATTTTGGTGTTTGAACTTCTTGGAATACAAAGAGTGGTTACACAAGATTCTAATTATCTCACAAAGTATCAGTCCCCACAAAGATTATTTTTTATCTTGTTAGGGAGAATGCAAAGGGCCATGGGTTATCTTTTCTGATCACTGTTTAACGGAGTTCGAGAATGAGGGCCTTGCGACAGGACTAGAGATAAAAGTGTAAAGCTCTGTCCAGAAGAGAATTATTCTAGGTTTCAGGAATTTCATATAGGCAAGGGCAATGGTGTAGGAAAACTATAAAAATACTAAAGTAACACCCTCAGAGAAACCAGCTGGTTTCCTGAATTGAGATACTATGCCATTATTCTATCTTAACACTATCTGTTGAAGGATTGGATTGCTTCCTCTCAAAAAGCAAAGACAAGGTTTGTCGATACACCTAATAAGAGAGTTATGCATACAAGAAGACACATGCTTGAAGCGGTGACTCTGTGACCAGTGGATCCATTTATATAGCACTTCTATGCCGGTCTGTATCTAGAGAACTTTCTAGGAGAGCTGGTACAGTCATGGGAAGCTTGAGAACATATTGGAATACCGGACAAGTATATGCACAGCCACAGTACTAGGAGATGATACCCCTTAATGATAGGGTAGCTGTCTTGGTTTGTGTAAGTACTCTCTATGATGTTTGCCTAATAAGGAAATTGCCCCTTCCTGCATCTCAGCATGGGTCCTGAGCATTAAGTGACCCAGGACTGTCTGTACATAGTTTCTCATAGGTGAGCAGGAAGATAAACTTTACCCAATGTGACCTGCACAGGGAAAGTAGAGCTTACTACCCTAGGCCTGGAATCTGGGGTCTCAGCTGTATTCTTTTGGGTTTGTCATGCAGTTGTTTGGCTATAGAAAAGGTGAGAAGGAGAAAAGGGAAAGGTTGACACAACCAAGGGTCAGAAACATTTGCTGGGAAGGAATAAGAGTTCCAAGGAAGAAGAGTTTTGCTAACATGGTACCCACAACCCTCTCCCACACATATGAGAATGGAGCTAAGTGTTTTACAAAAATCAAATAGCATGATGTAGGGTTGTTTTTTTAAAAATCTTATTCCCCTGGAGCATCAGTGCACAAAATGATAAAATTCGGGCAACTGATAGCAAATCTCTGTGCATCTCAAAACTATGTCCATTATAATCTCCTGGGGAGTAGGTTTACTAGATAAGTACATGTCTGCCTACCCCACAGAATTATGGGAGAACCCTAGGGGGCAAAGGAGTATAAATACTTTAACAGGTGTGTTGGAAGATTACCATTTGTAGCCAACTATATGTTTTTCTCACATGCTTATATTATTCTTTGTTCTGATTAACCCCCTCTATTCTCCTTTCCCATCCCCCTGCCTATTATATATATTTTTTTAATATTTAAACTCTTTTCTTCCTGTCCAGAGAATCAATCTTCTATATATTTCTTTCATATGTACTTGTGGACCTCTTTAGAATAAATGAATTCTTGTGCCAAACAAAGATGAGAAAGACATTAGCCAGGAACAAAGATAAGCCCAAGGATTTTTTTAAAATCTAGTGAAATACCAAGGACTTGAACCCTAGACTTTCAAAACCAGGGTAAAGGCTTGGGCCTCAGGACCATGTATGAGAGACAGGTAAGAAATGTTTCCCAAGAAATAGAAACAGATGTCACAAACCCCTTTATCTTCTACACATAAGAGACAGCTCCCTCAGATATGAGCCGCAAGCCTGCTGAAACAAATATAGGACTCAGAAATCTCAGACCAAAAAAAAAAAAAAAAAGGCAGACATTACTAATCAATAATGACACACTTCTTGGGAACCGATGTGTGGTCTTGAAATCATTCTCAATACAGTCTTAGGGCTGGAGAGAATGTGAAATCTATGTGCCATGTCTGATTTAATATTAACTCCAACAAATGACACTTGATACGTCCTTCCAAGCAGCTGTTCACACTCAGAGTAAGACAATCAGAGACTGAATTAATTATGAAGATTAATCTACTGGGTCAGGATTGCTGCCTTATTGCTACTCAGGAGGCTGAGATCTG